ACCAGTCAAGTAGAGTAACCTGTATTTACGGGTAATCAAACAATTAAGTCTTAGTCGGCATATGTATTGATTGCAAACCATTTTCCATGTTCTCTGCCGTTCTCGACCTGATAGGGCCACGAGATGTGAACATCAATACGAGAGGCCTTCCAGGGGCCGGCATTTCTCACGATATACTTATGGAAAACTCTACTTCCGATTTCGTCCTCAAATTTCTGCCAAATTTATGTATAATTTAATAGAACATAATAAACTAATATATATTTATATATGAAATGTCTGAATATGCATACAATGGCCGCTTCGCCTTTGATTTCACCGCCATATCTGACGGCCTGCTCCTCAGAATTGCCGCTTAATTCCAATTCTGCGTTACGAATGACTTCTGCAGTGAGTGTCACTAAATCGTCGTTCACTGACTTGTCAGCACTTGTCCTGTAGATTGAAATTATCAAGTGAATTGAGTTATACTTTAATAATACAATGAGAGAAAGTTATATCATTTACGTTGTCGTCAGGATTTGAATTTGAAGACTAGTTTCTGCGTCTGAAAGACCCATCGGATTAAATCTGAGCTGGAATTCCACTTTTCCCGGATTGAAAGGGTTTCCCAAATCGCACTTTAAGGTCGTCCTATTGCTTGGACTGCAGTCCAATTGGTCCCCTTTCTGTCAAAATTGGTGTTTAATTATAAACATTATTTAAATGCCATTATATTATAATTTACTGTAATCTTGCGGCCGACGTAACTAAGGCTTGAAGGATGTGTTATGTAAACACTGGCGTCATATGCGGGCTCTCCTTTGTTTATTACCCGAACATTAAGACTCAGGTGCTCTTCACCTATAAGTCAAACATACACTTCTGAATCAACCCAAACAAATAAGTCATGAATGTATGAATACCCAAATATAACATATAAGTGTTGGTGCCGTCTCTCCTTTTAGTGGTCAGATCCGCCTCTACTGTCAAATCGCTTTCGCAGATCTCATCGGAACCTAAGTTCATAAATGCAAATAAGTAACCACTGAATGGTGATGTGGTGTCATTAATAAGCAATACCGCATTCTTTAAGAAACCGGGCCTCAAACACCCGGTGCGCCTCCTCTTGATTAAGAATTGGGTATTTATTAAGGTCTGGAAGTGTTTCGCCGTCTGTTGGCATTCGCGGCTCTTTTTGAATGAGTGAATACGTCAACTCAAACATCACAGGGTTTTGAATATCGGATTTGTCTTTAAGATAAACTATTTCTTTGGAACAGTGCTCACTCTGCAGATCACTCACACCTGTACCACAAATTCATTGATATCGTAATAGTTAAACAACATTTATCTTAATTATTACCTCTTATAGTAATATCGCGTTCAACTATATTAGGCGTGTCTGAGTCGGCCGACTGACCAAATTTCACTCTATAATATTTTTTACCTATTTTTTTCAATCAAAATTTATAACAGATTAATGTCATTCCAAATTAAATACAATACAATGCAATACCAGTGTATGTTTCGGCTTCAATGCGATAATGAAGTTTTAAAAATGATGTGAAAGTCGACCTCAAAGTTGTATTAAATTTAAAACAAGCGTTAAATGAAAAGCAAACTAATTTGGAATAGAGATCATCCCGACAGCCTTCCCGGTTGGGATCGATTTGACTTAATTCTCCGGTAACTGAAGTTTGAATATCTATAATAGGTCTCGACCTGAACAGCAAAACCTTTTAATTTAAGGAAAATATAAACAGTTAAACAATTAAAGCACTCAATGGATCAGACATACGGCATCGCTTTCATAAGCGCCAACTAATAAGTCCGGATAACCATTTAGATCCAAATCATGTGTTCCTATAATAATTCAAAATCCTTTATGAGTCCACTTTCATACACCATTCAAATGAAACTTAAATATGTTTCTATTATACAAAAAAAACAATATAAAGTTTATTCAACAGAATTTGTCTCAATTCACAGCTTCAGTTGAGTTCCTTTATATTGTGAATGAATTACAATTACAATAAAAAGTCATGACATAAGTTACAAGACATCAATAATAGACGATCCAGGATGCCAAATACTTTTTCTATCATTTAATTGCAAGCACACAAATATTCTAAACACACATAAATCTTCTTGTTTACAGAATAATTTTCATTATATTTTCAGTATGAATATAAACGCATAAATCTCGGCTTAAAAACAATGATTTCTTTTTCAAAAAATATAGTTTCATAATTAAGCAAAAGTTTGCATTTTAGGTAATAAATGAGCTCTAGATTTAAAATAATTAATTTAAAAACTAAAAACTTTGCCAAAAAAGATGTTTACAAACCGGAAAGAGAATATCCAAATGTCTTGATATTTTGGATCTCATTCGGCAATTCGGAGGCTTTGATGATCTGAGAGGGCGTCTCTTTAACGCCAGAAGCAGTTCCCAAATGGATATATACAACACCATTGTCCTCATAGGGCGCACCAATAGCTAAATCATGATTTCCATCCTATGTTTCCAATGAATACAATAATTTTTATTTTGTAATGATTCTCGAGATGTCAATTCAACTAAAAACTCTATTTAATTAAACTATTTATTTAAACTCTATTTTTAAATCCAGAAAATTAAACTCTTCTGTTTTATCTACTATACGGCTTAAACTCTATGCTATGCTTTATGTATAGAAAGTGTGAAAAAATAAACAAAATTCTAATTCAAAAGCGCTTAACATTTTTGAAGGTAATTAGAAAAGTAATGATTCTGTAGAGCGACAAAAGTATGCAATTAATGTAAAATGCAGTAATATTAGACAATATTTATTAACTTATTTGAAAATAAGTTCAAACAAATATCTTTTTGGGTGCAAAAAATATTTTGAGAAACTCTTAAGACAACACAAAATTGGAAATTTAGCGCAACATAACTGTAAACATGTTGTCAAATATCAATAAAAACACTATAACTGTCAAAAATTCACTCATAAGTAAAGCCTATGCTTACATTACACGGTGTACATCCAATATCTAAAAATTAATGCATTGAAAATACATGAGCTGATTTTTCTAAAGTGAGCCCAATTATTAAGGGTAGTTTTAAGTAATCGATATTGATTATAATATCAATAAGTACCATACCTCTTCTGAAAAATATATCGACCATTAAATCAACTAATACTTTAGCAAGGGTAGTATTAAATTAATATATAATTTTATAATTATCTAGTCATGTGCTCAGCTTACGTGTAGATAGCAGACATATTATAACGTGTTTAATGAGTGGAATAGTGTTCTATAGTTTAATATATACCATGACCAATTTAGTTGTTTGGTTATTGGTTGTGAAGATTTTTTTTCAAAAAGTTATATTTAGAAAAATTACAAAAATATAGCATATGAAATTTTCCTATATAACTTCATCAAAGCTATAGAATTTTTATATCATAGTTACTAAAATTAAAGTCTGAAATGTGCTTGTTCATTTCCACTTTAGTTGACTATATTACTTTTATTAAGATAAATTTGACAAGTTTATAAAAATTATGAAGTCAAAACTTAGAAATAATCAAAAAAACTTAAAATTCCCTTTTCTCTTTGATTCACTAAGAAGTCATCTCTATCAGTTATTATACAAAATTTAATATGCTTTATATTCCACTACTAATTATGTTTCTACCATTACTAGAATTATTTAAAATTGTAATTAAAAACAGATATTGAAACTTTTTCAGATATTGGATGTACACTATGTATATAAGTTTATAAATTAAGCCTTAGTTCGATTCATATGAAATAAATGAAAACCGTATGATATTATATATATAGTATATATAATACAGTAGTTAAACCAATATTAAAGCATTACATTCTATAATATGTGTAAGAACTGAGAGAACAGATTAAATGTAAACCTTATTGAGATCACCGGCATTAGCAAGGGCAAAGCCAAATCTGGACTCAGGTTTGCCGGTTAGACGAGTCGATTTGACAAACTTTCCGTTGGAGTTGAGGTACAGATATACGGCACCGCCTTCGCTACGGCTGTAGTAGAAGGGGGCGCCCACTACTAAGTCGATTCGGCTGTAATCATGGGTTCAATTCAATGTTCAATAAATAAGAGTACGATTTCATTGCTTAAATGACAGACCCGTCTCCGTTACAGTCGATTGAAGTCATAGAATAGCCATAGGATGAGGCAAACTGTTCTCCACTGAGAATAATTTCAATTCAATGTTCAATAAATAAGAGTACGATTTCATTGCTTAAATGACAGACCCGTCTCCGTTACAGTCGATTGAAGTCATAGAATAGCCATACGATGAGGCAAACTGTTCTCCACTGAGAATAAAACTCACGTCGAAAGTGGACTCTCCCTTATGTTTGGAGAAGAACACCACTTGACCTGAAGTCGGGTTTTATTTATTGTTAATTCAATCTAAATTCAGTTAATATAAGTGTGTGTCTGGTATACCTGTGCCGTTAGCTCGTGGAGCACCGCCAGCATAACTGGTGGATGAATCGAAAAATTTGCCCGATGTCACACTCATTCCTAATATATGATCAAGGTAAATTTATAAGATTTTGCTCAATGGAAACTATTTGTTTGATTTGCAAAAATAATAAAATCAAAATAAATGCATTCAAGCGTTGAAAAACAGGAGTAATACCTAAATAACTGTATTTATCGACAGGCGACTCATTTTCGAGTACAGGTCCCATATACCTTAAAAGGAAACATGTTATCTAATATGCAATTCAACTCAAAATTGTAATCATTTGTCAACATTTGAAAACTCATACCAAGTCTTGTCGTCTCGGATGCGATATCTGTAAATAAATCGTAATTTCATCAGAGGTTAGATCAATAGGTCATTGGATTAATAGTCGAGACAATGTTTGAGAGTTTGGAAAATTGAGTTATAGGTTATCGACGCATAAGAGAGAATAAAAGTAAGTGTGAGATACCCTTCCCTGAAAAACATAGAAAATAGTAAACATTAGTTCAGTTATAAGTCATTGAATTGAATGTAAGGATAGGAATCAAATGGAAGTTTAGATTCAGAGATGATGTTGGAGTCCAAGTGAATACCTGACGGAATTTGAGAAAACAGTGCCGCGCCATGTGTATGGTCCCGGTGCTCCTATTACTATATCGTAATCCTCAGTTATGTCACCACTCGTGCCCGCCTGACAATAACCTAATTCATAGACCGATTCACACTTAATTTCATTATGACAACCAATCGGGTGTTCATTCATTCATTCATTACTGAATCAATGAATTCCGATCATTCAATTGACTCAATACTAACCATACTGTTCGTGTGCTTTACTGACGGGTCTGTTATAACAGGGTTCCCAAGCTCTTCGAAAGTCTAAATACTGTGATAATGAATAACAGATTCCTTGGCCCCACTGGAAGTCAGGCCCTTTTAATATGTATCGATGTGCGCACGCCTTGTGGTCAATAATTTTTATAATTAACACTAGTGTCACAAATTTAGACAATAATAAAATCTAAATATAATACTAACCATAACATAGCCTAAAATAGAAATAAAAATCATTATATAAATTAAATGTTTCATTTGTACTACTGATATAATTATGCAAATACCTCCCGGGCCTTGACTTTTGACAGTTACCCCTAACCACTGGTCATCTTTACTAATTCCTTCATCAGGAGCTATAATAAGATGTTTATATGAGTGAATGCATTGAAGTGTATGTGAATAAGTCTAACGTTTGGAGTCCTCTTCAATCTTGATTTGTGTGCAATCCTTCTTAAATGTATTGACAGAACATTTGAATACTACTCCCGAATGATTAGTCTGGGGCTGACCACTCTGGGCTCGGGGGGCGCCCACCAGTAATCTGAAAGCAACCAAACATTTACTGCACTGTATATTTTAGTTGAGAAATGGATAATACAATATACGATAATTTAAAAATATATTTTATTCATAGTAATTACAAAGCAGGAAAACAAATATTTTAGTGTGATTTCACATAAATTAATATACACTGAATATTAAATAAGCCGTAAAAATGAATATGCTTCATATAACGCATTATATAAACAACTAATTATAGAAATACTTCAATTTTATTTGAAATTGGAAAACATGAATAGTTTTGCAATAAGATATGCAAACATTCATATCACTTCAATTATTTTATAGTTAAAAATTGTATACTTTATTTTAATAAAATAATATATGAGTATGAGAAGTGATTGATATTAAGGGTACTATACATCTAGAAAACTTTATGAGTAATTCAAGAATAACTTCATAAATAAGAAAAGTACCATTTATATCGATTCAATATTACTGCAATAATTCATAAGTTATTATACTGTTGTACTGTACAGTAGTAAGAATTATCAGAAAATATAATGACAGCAAATATTTATACATTGTAAATTGAATAACAGTATAAGATATACTAAATGTAGGATGAAATGTTATTATTTTATATAAAGTATTGATTCTATACTATTGAACATAGAGTAGTTATATAATAAAAGTGATCCAACAGTAGAGAAAAGGGAGCGGGGTTAGGACTGGCATTGAGGCAAATGTATCGTAAATATATTACATTTCTATCAATATTTCGTGCGTAAAATTGATGAACGATTGGAAGTTAGAAAATGTAACATAAATCAAATCAAATCATCTTTTATTTTAAAAGTATTATATAATAAATATATCTTTCATTCTCCACGAGTGTGACGAGTGATTGTCCGCCGAATCCATGCCATCCATGGCTTCGTCAGTGTCTCGATGTCTGAGTTCATTGAAAGCGTTGCCCAAAAGGACACACTTGTGGTCATCGGTGGCGTTCGTGTCGTGTGGATGTGCTTGAAATGCCATTTTACTCAACATATCACTGATTGGGACCAATAGTGGCCGAAGAGTTGAGTTGTTTATGTTGTGCTTATGTCTCACTTATGTCTCACTCTTACAAAGCGTGCGATTGTTTGCAAACTAATGGCACTTAAGGGACCATCACTTGAATGCAAACAATTGCTCACTACTTGAATGCATAGTGCAGTGGTGCAGGCAATGCATTGAATGCATGCAATGCTCATACATTTCACTACTTCACGCAGATATCACTAACTCAATGCAACTAATAATCATTGAATTGATTGCCAATACATTACATTTGTGAACTGCTTTCACTCAATCCTACACTGCCTTTCATTTCAAGTATTGTCAACACAACTAATATATTATGCTATTATGGGGTTAATTACTTAATTGTCAAGTTATTAGTTATTACGTTTCACGTTTATACACGACCTAATGAATTAACCTAATGGTAACGTAATCGTGATGATGTCGGACATAATTCAACAATTATACTTATGATAACATTATTCATTAATTATGTTATTATTTAGTATCGTATCATACAGTACTGTATTTTCGTGTTGAATTAAGTTTCAATGATTACATTATATCAACACTTAACATACGAAACCTACCGATAGTACCCTACCCTCCATACCCACGCTACACACTACATCACCACAGAGGTGTCACCGCGACTATGACTAGTGGTTTCGCTCCGAGATCAAAGCAGTGAAGCACTGGCAGTGTGTCTGTGGAAGCAGTGGTGAACTGATCGTTGAATCCGATGACAGAGTGTTGTCTCAAAGAGTGGAAGCATTGGAACAGTGAAGGAGTGACTGATTGAATGGCAATACAGTTATGATAAGAGTGATGAGTGGGAAGACAAGTGGTGGTGAGGCTTAAGGCAGTCACTACTCCAGTCACTAGTATATGATTGTAAGGTATTCACAGATTACCAAACGAAGCAAACAATATGTGTTCAACCAATTCAACTAATTCTTCCATACATTCATAAAGTGTTCATTCATTTCAATTGTTTTACCATTTCGACTGAATAAAAATCACTAATATTATAACTCTATTTTCAAAAATAAAAAGTATATTTTCGTGTTTTACAAAAGTGTTAACGAATAGTGAAGAAATTCTTCAACAAATTCTGAAAATATATTCAAATTATTAAGAATTGGACTCAAATATACATCAATTAATTTAATAATCTTATTAACAATAGTTTTGAATTTAAATTTATATCAATTGACAAATGCTTTCAATTTGGAGACAAGACTTCCAGTCATCAAATACGGGCCAAAGAACTCGTACTTCGGGTACTCAGTGGCAGAACACCTCATCTTAGATGAGACCACCAAACAGACCACTGAAGCCCTGTAAGTGTATATCATGTCTAATATATTGTATATTATTGTCTAATACTATAACTTATATTGTCTACAAATTGCAAGCATATAATGCATTAGCGGTTGATGTCAGCAATAATTGAGTGATTAATAGCCCAACGAATCAAAAGTCTCTCTCAATGAGTGATGTAATGAAAAACAAACAATAAATAAATATTTGAAAGTGTGATAAGAATAGTAGTTTTGTATTGAATCTCCAATATTGTACAGCAATAGAGTGCCTGTGAAGCCAATGCCAATATGCCTTCAAACAAATGCTATAAATTGATAGCAAGGAATGTAAATAAAGCTTAACTTAATTGCAAACAAGCAATTGGTTAGAGTTTGGACTGAATTTGCAGTTTTCACTGTTTTATTGCATGAATGCTATGCGAAACCAATTGCATGGCGTCTAATATATTGCTTACATTGGGGACCCCTTCACCCCTGTCTATAGCCAAGCATATGTCAACTGAACCCAAGAATATTCTCACTTCTCTATACTTTTCGACTATTATTTCATATGAGGTTTAATATTTCACACATAAAGTGTATGTATTGTTAATTGTAGGCCAAAATAGTGATCAATATGCGGTCAATTCACTAATTAGTCAACATTTGTTTGTCTATCACTCAACACATTGAGGGTCGGCCCAAACAGTCTCTCCTTTTCTCATTATAAAACTTGTAGGCATTCTATGGATACCTTGTTGTAAGAGTTTGCTAACCTGTTTCCAGTTCAATACAACCATTCATTTGCCTCTACTCTATATGGACTCCAATATGTTATCTGTTTTGTTATTCCTGTATTCAAATCACTTCATATTTCTCCTTAATTCAGATTTATGTCTCAATCAATTGCACTTTTATAGCATTTCGCATCTTAATCGCGACTAATTTTGTATTTTTTATTATAAACTATGAATAAATTAAAATTATTTATTATAGTTTGAATTAAATCTTAAATTTATGGCTATTTCCTTCATTTGGCAGACTTTTTATTTATAATTAATTTTTTATTTTCAAATTCAATTCAATCATTTCGAGAATACAATAATTGAATTGATTTTGTAAATAAATAAATCTTTGAGTGCAAATAAACTTATTTACTAAACATGAGATTAAATAAGTTAATAGTACACAAAAGAGCTTAAATTCAAAAAATTATTGTATGTATAAAACATATGTTTTCAAAGCGAGGTAATCGATAATTGAGATCAATTTCAGATAATCTTTGTTTAGACTGTTGTGTGTAATAAATGAAACATAAAATTATGTAAAACTCGAGTACAGTGTTTACTATAGAGGGAACAGATGTTATAAATTTGGACACAATATCCACTTTCAAGCGTTGATTAGCTCTAGATTTTTGTGTTTAAAACATAAATATTTGGCACCGAATATATAAATTTAAAATATTTCAAAAGTTGTGTCAATTTGAATGCCTGTCATGTTATCCGTTGATTAATTGTCAGATATTAATCTTCATTCAATCCGTCATTTTCTTACTTTTTAAAGATTATAATTATTATTAACTATTACAATAATTTAGTACATATTCGGCTAAAATTTGTCACATATTTTTAATCGTATTGAGAATTATATTTCTTAGTTTATTTAATGACTTTTTATTTTGTTGATCAAATGTGATGATTGAAAGCTATGGGCGCTAATGAGATGATAAGTTAAACTAATTGTGTATAAACTTTGTTTATGTCTAAAAGAGATTGGCAGCTGTTGACCGAAATATATGCCAATTCAGACACAACTCGTGTACAATATTAAGCAAATTTGAGTTTTGTTTTGTTCACCAAATCCTATCCCACTCTACCATAACTCACTGTTTAGTACTTTTTGTTTAGTGTTTGCGCTCTTTTAGTAACCATCACTGCATTGAGCAGTTTGTGAACACCTTTCCCTTTAGACGTTGACCTCACATAAAGTCCTCAAAATTATTTGAACACAATTTAAGTGAAAACACAGCACAACTCCAAACCACACAAATATCCAAATATTCAGCACAACTTTACAAAACATTTTCACCACATTCTCTCTCTCTCTCTCTCTCTCTCTCTCTCTCATCCCTTGAATGCATGTCATGTCATCTCTTTGTTTATTTACTTTTCGGTGCGAATGAAAACGTTTTCCACTATTTTTAACAAATTCAACCAAAATTGTATTAATCATTCATTTTCGAGATCTCTATTCAAATACTAAGAATAGAAGAGTTTCTTCACAAGTGTTCGCTTAATATCTGTTTATTTGGAGTCAATAGAGAGCATCGATTGACCCATTTTTGGCGTTAAATGAATACAAATATTTTAATATAAATTTGACAAAATTTGCTTACAATCATACAATCATACAATATCACCCATAATCGAGTTAAGCTATAGTCATAAACTCCCAAATTAAGTGTAGTTTTTGAGATTCGGAGTGATATTCATTGGCATAATAATGTGAAACTGGTTTAGACACTAGTTTACAGCAACTCTTTGGTCTTCATATAAGGATAGCATTCATAATATGTTTGTTTGCCTTAATTTGGTAATGCCTTCAATGTTATGAATGTATGAATGCGTCACTAATACTATAAGAGAGCCTCAAAACTCAATTTGTAGTCAAACTCCGCTACAGATTAGAGGCTTTGGTATTATAGTGATCGTGGATTTGAGACACAGCTCTACACCGCAAAAGGGATTCAATAATAAGTCACTATTCAGAGGACACACTGCGCCCTAAATCATTGTTTTTCTCTATTTTATACCACTGTTTGCTTTCTATTCATTTTATTACTCATCCCAATTGAAAATGAGATTCTGATGATCACCAGAAATACAGAGAGAGAGAGAGAGAGAGAGAGAGAGAGTCCGCTGACTTGTGAGTCATTTCCAGTTGATGTTCACTACTATGACAGCAATTATTCGTATGATATATGCCTTCAATTTATTGTACTCTAAATGATGCGAACCATTCTCTCCCAAAACTATTCATTCGTCTCTCTCTCTCTCTCTCTCTCTCTCTCNTCTCTCTCACTCTCTCTCTCTCGCTTTTTATTTTCTCATTGTATTTTAGAATAAAATAATATTTTGACATTTAATGTCAAATTCTTTTAAACATTGAAGGAATTAAATTGCAAAGATTGTTGTTTTTACAGATTATATAAATCTTATGATTATATTCACACTTATTATTATTATTATTAACAGTATTATTGAAGAGATCTCTTAATTAACTGTATATCAAAACAGGCATAAGGTGTAGGTGTGGGCACACATAAGTGGGTATAACTTCCTGTGCTTATAAATATTGAACATTTTATTCATCTATAAAAACAACATTTAATAAATAATTAACGCCTTAAATGTTTTACTCTAACGCTTGAATACTTTAAATTTTAAAAAGAAATAAATAAAGATTTGTTAACATTTAAAAAAATATTTTTTAGTGCAAAACATGAGTGCATGTGTTTTGACAAAACATTTATATTTATTATATAATACTTTTAAAATAAAAGATGATTTGATTTGATTTATGTTACATTTTCTAACTTCCAATCGTTCATCAATTTTACGCACGAAATATTGATAGAAATGTAATATATTTACGAT